GAGGTTGTCGCGCTTTAGCGGCTTCACGGTAAGTGATGAAGGTGCTATGGGGCTATTGCTAAAGAACTACAGAACAAGACGCCTAATACAATGGCACGGCGACTGACGGAGTTGACTCGAGGACAGGTAATCAGAACCGTTCCTCGGATGCTTACTGAATTGTAGATTTGTCTTCACAAGGGTGCTGAATTATGGACCGTAGCCTCAGCAATCTTCCAAAATCAACTGAACTGAGAATACAAGAGCGTTGCGATGGCGTAATGTATAGCACTGGCGCCTGCGGCAGATGCAGGTTGAAGTCCCGGCTAGTGTGTGACTTTTGCCCACGGCTCAGCATCCTTGTAATGGTTTTGGGGAGTAAACTGCGGCTATAACGACATTTATATCGTATTGAAATAACTTTCGATTAGGCTAAAGTATCTTTTTTAGGCATCTCATTTTGCTGATGATCATGGAGAAAGTAAAGTGAAGAAGATATTGAATTTTGACCAATGATGGCTTCTATTTGTGACTCAGTTTTCTGTAAATACTATTTACTCCCTATATATCTGCATGATGTATGTGATTTTTTTGTTTTCTACTAGGTATCACTTTGTAATTTTCTCGGAAACGTGTTTTTTTGCCCTTCGTATATGCTCACTTGATTCTGACTCACTTGAATGCGTTCCATTTTCACTTGAATGTGGTTCTTACACGACGAATCGGACAGGAAATTTCGTTGCATTGCAGTTCGGCTTGGTGGAGGCAGCTAGTGCTACTCAGCAAAGTTTTCTAAAGCCACCTTGTGACGAACCGTTTTGTAGCTTCACAGGAGTTCACACGATTTCCCGAGGTGTAACCTGTTAATTTTCATCAATCTACAAAAAGAACTAGCGAAAAAGCAAGAGCTCCTCCAAAGCCGAACAGCGCCTGTGCGGGACTAAAACTACTTCTGTTTGGGATCAATACCGAGATCGGCGCTCATTTGCGGTACTAGTCGATTATCCTGGAATGGTGGTCAAGCTGCACGTTGGGCCCCCTTCAGAGCTCCCGACGCCTGCGATCGCGCTAAATCGTCTCTCATTCTTGCAACTGCGGGCCTCACCGCATCCGAGCTGGTTGAAGAGGTGCAAGCTTAGTGTCACGTGCGCTTCATTCGCACCAGCATTCGAACAGACGACTCACAATCAGTAACACTTAAGTCGATAGATCTGTGACTCTGCAGTGTTACTGAGTGGTCTAGTACTTAGTGCGCCGTTTCTTGCTCTTTCGCACATCCATGTTCACTTGGAATGCAAAGTGATACCAGCTCTACTAATGGTCTCGTGATGAATAGTGTAATGCCCTTGCTATCTGCCTCCGATCTGTGTCATTTAGTCCCGATTTCTGATCTTGTAATGTGATTTAATGTTATTTAATTAGTTTACTTTTATCATGATTATAACATCGATGTTTAAATTGTGATATAATTTACATCTATTAAATCTTTAGAATTTATCTTTATCTTTTATTTATTTATATCTTTATTGATTTCAAGGAAGTAGTCTAGTTTCCGTTTCGCACGTGCCCTTAGACGGAAACTAGACAACCATGGTATCCTCCCTCCGTGCTTCTGATCTTGTAACAATGAAGAATAAAACTTGGTAAAGCTATTTGTATTTGTTGATACCAGCCAGCTTAGCTTTACTTGTTCCCAAGTAATACAACTGTTAAAATGTTTCCAAAATTTTTTTATTGTTGAGATCTATTGGCACTGCCAAAGTGGAGGGAGCCAAGCAGCGGCAGCATGGCGAACTCTGCTGCTCTGCGCGCCACACAGAACGTCTTGCCTTTCTTGGAACATGGTGGGAAACATTGGTATATTCTAGAGTGGTTGGATGTTACCGGGTGCCAACTTCGAGACTTCATTTCAAAGCAAAATTTTCGTGTTTTCCATAGGAAGAAAATCCCAACCAAAGTTACACCATTGGAATCCCCATGAAAAATGCTATCTATTCATATGAAAATCACCTCATGGAACTTCCTACAACCTCTCGCAGTTTTCTCCGGCCATCTTCCTTGTCAGCGATCAATCGACCTAATAAGGGGAGTGACCATATAGTTTGGGATGACCTTATAATTACTTTTTCGCACCTCGGCATACTTGCCAGTGGGATACCCCCAGATTAATTGCTTGCACGCTGACTGGTGACCTCTCACTGCCAGGCTCACACAAGATAGAATAACGAGAAATAAGTGTATAGATGTATAAAATAGAAATTTCCAAAGGGGTAAGTGTATGTATATAATAGCGAATGGAGACAAATGCAAAATATTACAGAGAACACAGTAAATCATGGAAACTGATGTAATGCGTGAAAAAAAACGCTATCCAGTATCGGTATTAAAAGCACGCAAACTCGCCTACGAGCGAATTACCACAAAGGATGGCCTCTGGCAGTTCGGCGCCTTTTTACCTACCACCTACTCACTCTATGAAGGTCACTTTATTGAGTACTTAAGCAAGTGATCCGCGGTAGGAGCTACACCTATTGTTGTGTTTGTCTTCTGCACTCACGTGATGTTTTCGAACTCCCAGTGGAACGCTTCATATCAGGACTTCTCCGGCCACTTACTCTCACAATACGTCCTGACTAACAGCACTGCACAATCAGGAACCCCCACGCTCTACGTAGATACCCCGAACACCGTCACTATGCCGACTGCAGCACCGTCATTATGCATGTATTCCACACAGTTTCAGGTTTCCCCAGCGTCATTCGGCTATGAGCCTCCGACAGATGCTTTCTACAGCACCATGCAGTCTCCTGCTCCTACGCTGTATATGTCCTCCACCTCATTTCAGACAGCTTTCGAAGGAACACCTGCGCCTGCATCGTCCTCAACAACGATATTTCAGTATCCAGGCCAGACACCCTCCCTTTTGTCTATGGCACCCCTTCCCTCTGTTTCTACTCCGTCGCCACCTTCGACCAGTGCGAGTGCAGTGATTCCGGAGCTTTCTTTTCCAGGTACTTCGGATGCAACGGCTCTACCTGCTGACCTAGAAGCCCCTCCTCGACGACGATACATCGGCGAAAGACAGGCGAGCAAAATTGGGAAGCATGATGTACTAATTTATAGAATTCCAGGGACATCACGATCGTTCACCTTCTATAAGCGTTCGCGTCAAAGACGAGCGAGACTTACAGCTGCGTACACTGCTTGAAGGAAAGAAGAAGGCGTGGAGAAACAGCGGTAGGAGGAGAATATATCAAAGTTAGTCGAAAAGTTTGAAGAGCATGTGCAGGTCCAGATCGCAGTACGCTCTTATTTAGGTTGTTGGGAACGAATTTTTGACCGACCCTAGCGCAACTGCTCATGAATGCTGTTCAGCCAAGTACTCGGAGGAGAGAGGGGACCGGCACGTATATAAGGTGAAAATACTGGCAACAGGAATGAAATAGCTTCTTCCAGGAGATGCAGAAAGTCAGAAAAGATCCCACCTACGCTGAGAAGAAACCCGTGAGAGTGTATCTTGATATGTTGGCGGCACCCCTTGAAGCCGACAATGGTATAATGCAAACACGTTGATTGTGCTTTTATTGACATATACAGGTCCAATTCTTATTCCGGAAGAAATGGAAGCCTCCATCCGTGCTTCAATTCGTCGGTCAGGATATCAGTCCCGTAGGCGTGTCATATCAAGGTGCATAACTTCTGTCGAACATTTTATCAGCTGTTCCCTCTTATCAGGTTTACTTCAGGAGCGGGAGTATGGACGGACAGGTCAGTCACGATGGATCGAGTCCCTTTGGAGTACAGCACGCTTCGTGACGGTTCCAGCTTTTTGCAGCACCATTCACAGGATTTCATATCTATTACTCCGTGGCAACGATCCAGGTAAAAATTTCAATTTGAAAGACTCCCGAAATGATGTTTAATACATATTCATTCAAGAAAGCATGTGACCTGGGTCTGCACGCCATTGTTGCGGACGGCATGCATTCCCTGCATCCCAAGTCGCTGGGATACCAGGCACAGGTCTATTGTGTGCACGGCGTATGCTCAGAGGGGGTCGAGATACCCCTTCTATACTGCATCACTGAGAAGAAAACAGAGAAGGTGTACCTTAAAATTTTTGCGCACTTGAAGGCAACTATCACGTCCGATGCGCCTCGACGAGTGGTACTTGATTTTGAAAAATCAGCTATTAAAGCTGCACGCAAAACCTTCCCAGCTGCAGCTGTGGAAGGCTGCGCATTTCACATAGCGCAGGCGTGGAATCGCAGACGAACTCATATCGGTTTGACAAGGTACACGCAAGGAGTAGAATGTGATGCTAGAGTCGCAGAATGGTGGGATACTGTGAAAGGTAAACTTATAAAATTCAGTGCCCTGAAGGGATCTTATAGTAATAGTCTTTTGTTCTAGGCATAGTTTTCCTTCCTACGCCGCTGCTCCCCCACGTGAGAGCACTACGTGGTCCTCCTGTCCCCAGTGGGCACGGTGCCTTTGAAAAGTGTAAAAAATTTTTGGAGTACCTCAACACGACCTGGATGCAGGGGCCCTTCAAAAATATGTGGTGTAAATGGAAAGTGGAAGAATTGCGGACCACGAATTTGGCAGAGGCCTTCCATAGGTTGTAAAATGAAATTAGAAGTGCGTTCACTCAACCATTTATCGTATGTAAAAATTGTTGGCTTACAGGCGGCTTGGGGACTTGATAGATGCCGACCATCCCCCTCTTAGTGTGCTTATAGAGGCGCTACGAAAGCTGAACTACGAAGCAAGAGCAGCTCTTCAACGCCTCCAGGAGGTTGCATTTTCATCACTTGGAATTAAGCCGTTTCTTACTATCAAGTCGCATTTATTTTATTTCAGGTTCCAGACAACGCGAGGGTTTTGAGTAGGCGCGACAGTGAAAGAAGGATGAAAATCGCTGAAGAAATGAGAAGGTAGGTATCTTTCTTCCAGTCATAACGAACCCGCAACACAATCTTGTTCAGATTCGAAACATGTTACTGCAGTGGGCCGAATGAGGAATAGAAGGGGAGAATCACCAAATTTAACGAGTTCTCAGAAAAACGCAATCACTTACAAAATATGGTACGGGAGCTGATATTGAACGGTGATTGGGGAAGATAGCACTAATAAGATCCGATGAGCAGCTATTGAAAGATAGGATTGCAATCTTCAAGAGGTGATAGCCGTTGATAAGTTCCAACGACGAACGTTACAAAAAAGTCGATGAAATCTAGGATATGGTATGAACAAGTGTTACTAGTGGGGAACAAGAGGTTATAGATAAGATAAGTTCCGATAAAGAGCTATATAATAGGATATTACGAAGTTCAGCGAGTTTCCGGAGAAAAGATAATTAATTTCAAGATATGTTATAGGAAACTGAGCAGGAGTGCCACTGGCGAGTAATAAGAGGTGATAGCCACTTATTACTCGCCAGTGGCACTCCTGCTCAGTTTCCTATACCATGAGATAAAGTCTGATAAGGAGGGTTAGAAAGGGAGGATGCGGAATCTAGCGAGTTTTCAGAAATAAGAAGATTAATTCCGAGATGTGATATAGGAAACTGAATAGTGGTTGGTGACAAGTGGTGATAGCCATTGATAAGATCCGATAAGTAGAGAGAAGGATCACCGAGTTTATCGAGTTTCTCACTAAAAAAAGTAATAACTTCCAATATATGATATGGGAAACTGAATACTGGTAGCTTATAGGAGGTGCTAGTCATTGTTAAGATCCGACAAGTAGCGTAAGGGAGGGAGAATCACCAAATTCATCGAGTTCTCAGCAAAAAAAAGTCACTTTCGAGATATGCTATAGGGAACTGAATATTGGTAGCTGACGCGACCTGTAGCAGCTGGTAGGCTTCGATGGAGTGTGTTTAAAGACACATAGTACGCTCAACACATTGAGGGTGTATGAGACTATCAGCCCCCCAGCTGTCGATGTGTCGTGGTCCCCCCGCCCAAACATGCCCAGGAATGGAGATACAGGACCGTGAAACACGCTAATTCCTCCATGCTCCGCCTTACACCTTTTGCGGCGCAGATTCCCGTCCTTCATAACATCCGTTGCAAGCGCGCGTGTCGCGTGCGGCTCCTTGGCACTTTGCCAAGTCCTTTAATTGCGCAAATACAAGTAAAACGCAATTTCCTGATGCGGATAACATTGGAGGTGCTGCAAAATAAGAACAGAAGATGATGACGAGGGTCAGAACTTAAAAGCAACTGTGCCACTTCTGCAACATCCCTCGGAGGCCGCGTATCCACGAAACATGAAAATAAAACGGCATACTCGTTAGTTTGATACAAGCAAAACGCAATTTCCTGATGCGAATAAAATTTAGGTGTTGCTCATGCTTCAAAATCCATGTACAAGGAGATGAAGATGACACAGGCTAGAAATGAAGCACAACGATGTAAATGTAAAAACAAAAATGAAAAAAAATCAAGGAAAGGCAAATTAGTTGAAATCGATGCCAAGGAGCCGCACGCGACACGCGCGCTTGCAACGGATGTTATGAAGGACGGGAATCTGCGCCGCAAAAGGTGTAAGGCGGAGCATGGAGGAATTAGCGTGTTTCACGGTCCTGTATCTCCATTCCTGGGCATGTTTGGGCGGGGGGACCACGACACATCGACAGCTGGGGGGCTGATAGTCTCATACACCCTCAATGTGTTTGAGCGTACCATGTGTCTTTAAAGGGGGAAGGTCACGTATTCATAACGCGGGTTGCAACATCGACTTGGCATTACAATAGGCAGAGGGTGTGGGACACTAACTACTACCGGTGGCTGGAGAAAACTGCTATGGGCTGACAGGATTCAATAAGGGTCATTAGAAGTCTAAGGTGCCCATGTTCACAACGCGAGTCTCAAAAAAACTTGACGTTGGTTCAGCAAGTGATGTAGAAGGACAGGCGGGGACATCAATGGTGGATGACAGAAGCTACCAACCGGTAGGGCTGATAAGAGACGTTGCCGCCGTCGTCGTCGTTCTTCGAGATATGCTATTTTTTCGTTAGAAATCATAAAAAGACAATGATGACGTATGACAGGTAATCATATCACTTGATGAGAATAGATAAGAAGCTATCTTTACCGCGGTTCTTATTACTCCATACCGCGATAGTGCCACGTAGTAGAGGCTCGATATGTAAACTCCTCCCTTTAAGCATCGCGACGTCAACAAAATTAAAGTCAATCTCGGATTTATCTGCTCTTACATGTATTGACGTTGAAACATCGAGCTTGGGGATAACCCCTGAAGCGAGGACATCAATTGAAAAATTTTTTTTGCCCTATGGGCCTCACTGTGTTTTCCAAAACAGGGATTTCAGTTTATGTTTCAGGATATCCACTCAAGGATAAGCTTGGTTGGGTGCCCCGTGGGGTGCGCTTAATGTAGCTTATCATTGACATCTCTCAGATTAGGATAACAGCAGACATGTTGAAGGATGAGTTCTTCTTTATGACATTGTTATGCACTACCCAGGAGCGACTAACACGATTCTGCAGATTTCGGTGTTTTGTGCGGGGAATAACTCGATTCACATCGATCAGCTTATTTAATTTAACGCCTTTGCTGCATAAAAGCAGCAGTAGTGGTGAATGCTCATTGAGAGATAGACCGCAATGTAATGGAAATATGTTCAAAACTTACCGCTTACAAGGTGCACGTTCAGTTTTTCAGAGAAACAGCATCATTGTCATACGCATGTGGGGAAATATGGGAGAACATAGCAGTATTTTCCCTCCTATATCCGTCTGTTCTACAACCTCACAGCGGGGAAATATAATCTTCTAGGCGGTTGGCAGCTTGCCAAGTACCCTCTAATATGGCGCCATGTGCAGACAGCCCGCAGCAGGTTTACCCCACGCGCTGTTAAACGAATGAATCTGTTTCAATTATCAGTCGCCTGCAAACGTCTACAGCTCACTAGCTTATGATGAAATATAAGTTTCTGGTGAGCTGACGAAAGTATTTTTTAAGAATATGCACTAGTTCATCTGCTCTGAACTAGTCCATCAGCTCTGACGACAAAATCCTCTGCGTTCTCATAATAAGCACTCTTGCTGTAAGCGCTGCAACTGAGGTTTTTAAATTCTTGCAGTTTCTTCGAGAAACCATGAAAAGCAGCAGGTCAGACAAATAACCCCTCCAGTCAGTCTGAAAAATCATCCCTTTATGAAAAGCGGTCCTTCCATCTTCGAGAATGAAAAAAAGTCTCTAGTTAGGTTGAGATAAACAACTTTCTTTCAATCTCAACATCATTATTCATGAGCTTCGCAGGTAAAGCATTCCAGGATTCCGTTTTTCATGTATCCGTAGCTTGAATCAGGAGTTGTAGTTATGGACCTCCACTTTTTAGACGTGTAATGAAATAGTTTCTGTCAGCAGTTATGGATTGGGACAGGCTTTCAATATTTCGGAAATTTGTGGTTCCACATCCTTTGATATTTTAATAGGAACTACCTCTACAAGATGGAATTGTCGACGAATAGCTTTTTGCTTTGACAACTGCTTCGCGCTCCAGCCAATAGCGTCACGGGGCGTGGCCAACTTGCATCCTCCTTTCTGTATCTTCTCGTTAGGTCGTTTGTTGGCTCGTTAGCGGTTCGTTAAGGCATCTTCATGGAGGTTCATCAGAGCTGTTTTGTCGACGCGAGCACCTTTGCGACAGAATTTCCTTCATCGCGAACCGATTTTACCTCTGTGCGACCGGAATATGCCCTTGCATTGCCGGAAGTGTTGGTTCCACGATCGGATTTTGTCGCATCAACTGCAGATGTACGACAACTTGGCGTTAGCAAGGAATGTGCAAGTCAAATGAGTAACAATGGAGATTGCCTCTATGCTGTATCACACAAGGTGAGGCGTATATGGACTGTCGTGATCTAGATCTAGTTACCCGAAAAGCGGTCGTCCTTCTGAGGGTGTGCAGCAAACATCCCACCACAATATAATAGTAAAGAGATTGAGTAAAGACTATCTTATGTTTCAGTGAAACTAGGCACTCTCGACAAGACAAGTTGCAACAACATCCAAATTGTGTCGAACGTGACACGGCACAACGTAGGAGGATTTAGTGTGCAGGGGTTAACACATCGAGTAGGAAGAGGGATTCACTTATCAGTTCAGAGTCTTAAAGCTCTTTCTGGAAGGGATGCTGGAGGTTTTTATTTGTGTAAGCTTAGTTGGCAAGGAAGAGAAGTCCACTTCGTTCAAATCAAATTCGAATCGAATTCGTTGAATCCTCATGGATGTTTGATTAATATAACCACCGCAAGATAGTCTTTTCACTGGATATTAGTTTCTAATCTTGTGATCACAGATCTTCAGTAGATATCTTGATACAATGTGTTTCAGTTCGGAGTCATATTCTGCTCCGGATGCGGTCGTGTTATTGCAGAAAGGACTCTTCTCAGCGTGAACGGAAGGTAAAGCTGTTTTCTTGGCGAGATTCCTGACGACTCAATGTAATGAGACTGTTATACCGCTGTGAGGTGGAGGTGGTGTAGCGGCAAGTGGCACGCTTACCATGCGCACGCTCTGGGGATCAATTCCTGCATCGGCTCCCGTTCAGTCAATCGTTCTATCTTCAGAGCACCAAAACGGTGCCAGATTCATCTGGGAGGATAAGAACACTGACTTGTACATCGGCTGGCCCCGCAAGTCATTGTATAGGCCACATCGCATTCAATAAGCCACTACGATTCTGAATGGAAGTAGAATGCGTACCGTCCCAAAAGGGATTGACTAACGGCGAAGACTTTATCCTCTATCCTTATACAGCCCATTGGTAACTTTCGCACCCCGAAAGTGGGAAAGACTGAAGTGGAGAAATAGATTACTCAGTAGTAAAACATCGCACAGCGTTGATCCCTTGTCAAGTGAAAAGACTGTGGAAATCATCTCCCTCAACCTTTCGCACACACGTCTCGCATTCCTATTTCGAGTATAACTCTGGCTAGAGAACATGAAAACTAACAAGTAAGTAAGACGCCTCGGACCATAAGAGCTACAAACTGATGAGAAGTTCATTCAGATTATGGCACGAAGCCTGCCTGCGATGCACTTCGTGCAGATCCTCCCTTCTCTCTCATCACAAATGTTTCTGTCGTAATGGAAACACATTGTGTAAATCCTGTTATGAAAGGTGACAACTTCTCAGCTTTTCCTTTTCACAGTAACGCAATTGCTCACGCGTCGATGACTTAATTGACTCAATCTCTTCATTAATGTATCCTGCTGACATCTGTGTGCCATGTCTCTCGAGACCTAATTTTGTACCACCTACAGTACAAATTATTCGTAAAAATGTGCACAACTAAATAAATGAATGAAACTAGATAAGTCATTCAGGGGACTTGTACAACTCCATGGGTCCAGTAATTTTTATTCCCCAGGACAGAGCTCAAAAAAGGAGATAAACGATCCGAAGGCACTCTAACATATTCCAGGCAATAGAAATGTAGTGTTAGATGAGGAAATGTAACTAACATAATGTCCTTTGATGTCGGGTCATTTTCCGCCCATGAGTAATTTGCCACAATTTGTTCTGAGTTCTTTCACGGATTCTCTGCGCATCTTTTTGAGAAGAGCACACTTGGTCTTTTTTTTCCTCAGGTCACACCGCCAGAAAATACGTCCATGCTTAGGGTTACTAATTCATTTGCTTGGCCTGTGATTGCCCCTCTGCAATTCAGGAGATCAAATCAAGCTTCTTCTTCCATAGCAACCTGTTCATGTAGGAGGAAAGAACTGCCTCATTTTGAAGTGCTAGCCATTAGATTTGGATTAGACCATATTAAATTTGGGCTTCAAGTGTAATGTCCTGACGGTAAACATAGGTGAGAGTACTCAGTTCCTCAGTTACTCTACTCTACTACTCTCAGTTTCTCAGTTACTATTTGTTCAAAATTATCCACAACAATTACATTGATTCACCCAATGTTCCCATCATTCGTTAGAGACAAATGAACGCACCACTTCGCATCTGTCAGCCTATCTCATTACGTCACACGTAGTAAATGGTGAGATTATGGTAGCAACAATTACGCAGGTACAACCGTTCATTATGTAGTTTATTCGCGCGATCTCGTGCGGATCTTAAGATTAAGAGCGGTTGGTGTTCGATACCACATCTTTATTACTAATTAGGCTTTTCAGTCATCGCATTTTTTTTTGGAACTGGCAATGTATTACTAGTACTCCATCAGCGGATTACGTGTAGCTGGGGAATATATGATATGTTCATCCATTGCTGCAAGCTTTTGACGCAGTAATCCCTGTAACTCATTGAAATTTCCTTAACATTCATTGAAATTTTTCCTTCATTTAGACATAAAAATTTGCCTGATCCTTGCACTCGAATATTTTTCGACACTCAAGGAGTTCTGTAGCCGATTCATGCTCTAATAAAAACGCAAAATCTGATATTGAGTGACAAAACAGCCACCGGTGACAACAGCGTCTTCGAAAGAAGCTGTAGATTGTGTAATTAAAAGAGTGGTCGAGCAAGCACTTATTGATAAAAGGAGCCGAAAACGGATTAGCACTGTCAAGCAGCTAGGCTGACAGATGCACCCCATCATGCTTTCAAAAGTGACGCATCATCCGCTCATTGAAGAACATATTTCGAATATTTGAACAACAATTCTATTTACATTTTTGCCCGAATTCGTACCTCTAACAATGATATGTATATTGGAATATTTAGAAACAAGGGGAAGCTCCAAAATGTTTATACTAAAAAGTTCACAGCGCGCAAAAGCTCCAAAAAGCCTTTGAGAAAATTTATCGCAAAATGTGTCGTCTCCGCCTTCGTCAGAGCCTGAAATGGAAACGATCCTTAAGACAATTTGGCTGGTCTAGTAAAGCATCTCACGATATCGATCACCAGAGTTATGGCTCATTTTGATCAGCGGCCGCGGTGCGGGGTCGACCACCCCGAAGACACTTTTCCGTCGAGTAGCTACTACTAGTTACTCTTCTCAACCTCACGGTAGATCAGAAATTGCAAAAGTCGAGAAGGGCTGCCACCTCACGGGTTGTGGAATACCGCCCGTCGCGATGCGGGGTCGACCTGGGGACCGCTTGACCGTGATGTAGCTATTAAGTCACCCTCCTCGACGTCACTTGGGTCTCTTTATATCAGTGAGAAAATTTGCTCTTCTTGCTGAAAGGAGTTTATTCACCAAAACTCTCGCCTTCTTATGATGCAAGCGGCAACTACGCTCAGTACAAGAAGCTCCGGCCACTTGGTAGAAGCCCAGCCCATTTTTGAGAAGTGATTGAGATCAGTCAGCCGACCATATTCTTTTCCTTCGTCCAGAACAAAAAAAAACCAGGTAAACTTATTCCGAGTGACGAGCAAGACCCTCTTACGCCAGTTGAGTCTCTAACCTGAAGATCTGGAGCATTGTCGGGAATGGGTGGGTCCTCTGTGAAGTGGGTGGAGCTTCTCAAAGTGATCGGAGCTATTGGTTGCGGCCTGAAAAGGCAAAAATTTCATGGAATGATTGGAATTTTAGAAAAAAAAACGCTCTGCCCCCTTGGCCAAAAGGGCTTAGCTTGATGTGCCAGTGTATGATTGCGTATCTGTGAGTACACTCGTTCTTTGGAGAATGGCTGTGGGAAGGACAACGTTGAAGAAGTCAGAAAAATTAGAAATACGTCATAATCTCTCTAAAAAGTGGGCAGAGTCGTGTGTGTGGGTTATTATGTGGATATTAATAGGTGTGCATGCATGAAG